ATCTGTATCTTGCCATTGGACCCAGATGATTTGGGAGGAAGAAGTGAGGCTGGTGACTTTGCACAGCCCTCCCTCATTTAAATCCAATTTACTTGTAAGTTGTGACATCACCTTCTTTATGTCATGGTCCTCTTCGAGAATGAAGGATAAACATATGGAGCCAGTAATGATCTCTCTTACTCACGTTTGTGGAAACCTGAACTTGGGATATTGTTTGGAGATTTTCCCAGAGTAAAATCTGGATTGGAGGAAATAGACATAAGAGAATATGACCCTTTGGAAGGGGCCAGTTCATAATCCAATGTGAATCTAGTCATGGACAGCCTTGGAAGAAGAACTACACTTTGACGTCATGGACTTCATTTGACTGCAAAATCTTATGGATTGTCTACCTCTATAACATCTCTTGCATCTACCTACTTTTCTCTTCTCTCATGGCTACCACTCTATTTCATGCCCTTGCCTATGTTACTGAAATTCTTAATTGGACTTTTGGCTCTCTCCTCTCCAATCCCCTCTCCTATACAGCTACCAATATTCTTAAAGCCCAGATCTGATGAAGTCACCCACTTCTCAAGAATCTTCAGGAGATTTCTAGTGTTTCTTTAATAACATGCAAACTCCTGAGCTTAGCCCTTAAAGTTTTCAGAATTTGGATCCACTCTTTCTTTCTTTTTTTTAAATAATATTTTATTTTTTGCCAATTACATGTAAAGACAATTTTTAACATTCATTAAAAATTTTTTTTGAGTTCCAAATTTTCTCCCTCCTTCCTTCAACCTCCCCCTACCTGAGACAGTAAGCAATTTGATATAGGTTATACACATGCAATCATGCAAAACAAATTGCCCTATTAGTCATGTTGTGAAAGAAGACACACTCTAAAAGAGGAAAAAAAACCCACCAAAAAAAAAAAAAGAAAAAATAGGAATCTTCAATCTACATTCAAACTCCACGGATGTGGGTAGCATTTTTCATCACGTGTTCAGCCTGTCTTTCAAGAGAGACTTGTTATTCCTCAATTTTTCCCACTTCACATCCTACTTGGCTTACTTGCTGTTTCCTGGACTCGACATTCCATCTGTTGTCTCTGTGCCCCTGCGTCAGGCTTGCTTTTCACCACATCTGGAAAGTGCTCATTCCTCACCTCCACCTCTTAGAATCCCTAGCTTTCTCCTTGGCTCAGCTCATGTGCCACCAGCCATGGGAAGCCTTTCCTCTTCCTCCTTAGTTCTCTCTCCTTCCTCAAATTATTTTGTTCTTAGTCATCTGTTTACTTATGCACGTCTTCTAGTGTAAGGTAAACTCCTATAAAACTGAGGCTGTTTTTCTTTTTCTTTTAAGCTGTATTGTATTTTTATTTATTTTGTTATAAACATTTCCTAATTACATTTAAAATGTTTTTGATCTATGTTTCTGTTTCCTACACCATCATAGTTATCCTAATTATCCCCCCCCCTTTGCCCCAAGAGCCAACCCTATATGACAAATAGTATTTTTTAGAGAGGAAAAAACAATCAGCACAACAATTTTTTGTTTTTGTCTTTGTATCACCTCATGCGGTGTCTTGCATCCTGTAGGTGCTTAATAAATGTTTGTTAAATTAAATTGGGTTGAATTGTTCTGTATTAACTGCTGTGCTGTCAGTGGTTTGGGAGCTTTCCAATTAGCTAATAGAGGCTAAATCCCAGCAGCAGTTTACCCTTGCTTAGACCTAAACCCAGGTCAGAAACTTGTACAGCTCAGACTGGGGGCCGGTAATCAGACTTTGCCTTGAATCAGATCACTCTCAGAGCACTGAAAGCTTGCAGGTCCCCAGACTGTCCCTGAGGTATTGGAATAACACAAGACTAAATACCCCAAGAAAGTAGCAACAGGGCCAGCCTCGACCTTCCCTTCAGGAGTACACAGAGACTAGCCCAAACTAACAACAAGGCCCTGGAAGAACAGGCAAACAAACTGAAAACTCTCTACCATAATGAGCTATTATGGTGACAGGGACACTCCAGACACAAATGCAAAAGAGAATGACTCCAAAACATCTGCAAGCATTGCTTCAGAGAGAAAACACAGCTTGGGCACAAAACTAATTAGAATTCTTGGAAAAGACGAAGTGAGACTTTTTTTTAAAAGCTAAAAAAAAATTTAATAAATGAAATGAGAACGTTTGAGGGAAAAAAATGGGAAAAGAAATGAGAATTAAGGAAGGAAGAAATGGAAAAGGAAATTAAATGTTTGGCACAAGAGGTATAAAATTTTATTCAAGCAATAAACTGTTTAAAAATTAGAATGGACTGAGTAGAAGCCAATGACTTCATGAAGCAACAACAAGAAATATTAAAACAAAGTCTTTTAAAGCACTAAAAAAAAAAGGAAAATCAAAGACACCTCCAGAAAAAGAATGGATGTGGAAAACAGATTGAGGAGAAAAGAATTTAAGAATCATTATATTATGAATGTCATCATTAAAAAAAAAAGCCTAGATAGCCTATTTCAAGAAACCTGAAAAGAAAATTACCTAGAACTCTGAAAACTAGAGGACAAAAGGGAACTAGAACAAATCCACTGGTTACCTCCTGAAAGAAACCCCAAAGGGAAACATCATAGCCCCAGGAACATTACAGCCAAAATCCAGAGCTCCCAGGTCAAAGAGAAATTACTGCAAGCAGCCAGGAAGAAAGAATTGAAGTACTAAGTAAGGAGCCACAGTTGGGATCACACTCGATTTAGCAGCCATCATGGTAAAGGAATAGAGAACTTGGAGTTGCGCTATTACAGAAAGCAAAGGGTATGAGTTTACAAGCTGAGAATAATTTACCCAGCAAAACTCAGTATAATGCAACTGGGGGCGGGAAGGGGAGGTGGGGAATGGATCTTTAATGAAACAGAGAACTTCCAATGATCCCTAGGGAGCAGCTAAGTGACTTAGTGGATAGAGTACTGTGTGTTTGCAATCAGGAAGATTCCTCTCACTGAGTTCAAATCCAGCCTTAGACACTTACTGGCTTTGTGACCCTGGACAAGTCACTTTAACCCTGTTTGCCCAGTTTCCTCATCTGTAAAATGATCTGGAAGGAAGGAAATGGCAAACCACTCTAATATCTTTGCCAAGAAAACCAAGGGTCACAAAGAGTCGGTCAGTACTGAACAACAACAACAAAGGGTTCCTAATGAAAAGAACAAAGACTTAGAGAAACTTTGAAGTTCAAACTCAGGAATGAGGAGCAACATTGAAAGATAAACATGAATGAAGAATGATAAAAGACTAAACAAGGACAAACTACATTCAAATATGGGAAGATAATATGCGTGTACCCTATGAGCAATATCGTCGTTCAGGTCGTAGAGGGAATTCAATTAGGCTGGGCCTGGGAGTGGTTCTGTTATGTCTTGACGAACTTAGAGCAGGATGGAGAGAGAGGGGAAGAGGGATACATTGAGAGTTGGTGGGGGTGGAGGTGGGGGTGGGGGGCAGGAGGGAAAGGAAAGTTATGGAAAATTGTCTCACAAAATGGGGTACATAAATAGACATTTTTTACAAGCAAAGAGGAGGAGGTGGAGGAGAGCACTTAACGCTTGAGCCCCACTCTCATCTGAACTGGTCAAAAGAAGGAAGAATACACATGCATGCATGCATGCGCATGTACACACACACATACACACACAACTGAGAACAGAAACATGTTTCATTTAACAGGGAAATAAGAGGGAAAGGGGAGAAGAGAAGAGTAGGAATTGGATGGTGGATTAAGGGAGAGATTAGTCCTTAGCAAAACTAACTCTAAGGAAGTGCAAAAATATTGATATCTTTTTTTGAAGTGGTGAAAAATGGGGAATCTAAGGGGTTGCCCATAAATTGAGGAATAGATGGACCAGTCATGGTATATGGATGTGACAGAATACCATAGAGCTGAAGTCTTATCAGTGTAATGACTAATCAGAATTCTAGAAGACTAATAATGAAACATGTTAGATAGAAAGGTGAAAGACTCAGAATGCAGAACGAGACAAATATTTTTTAGGACATGGCCAATGTAGACGTTTGTTTTGATTGACTATACATAGGTGTAATGGCCTTTGTTTTTCTTGTGTTTTCAGTGGGGTTAATCTTGGCTGATTAAAAAAACAGCAGATATCAATGCAGTAGTATTCAGATGATCTATCTCTTATTCCTCATTCTTGGTGCATGACTGATCCACATGTCTTACGTGTTCTCAGAACCAGTGGGTTTTTTTTTTAATGATACTTATGCACAAATCATTGTTGGCAGCAGGTTGTAATCTATATATACCCATCATGTACTTTTCCATTGCTATTGAAATACATTTCTGAATAGTGAGAACAACTTGGCAGGGAGTAGCTTGAAATGGAAAGTAATTCATGATGACAAGTTAAGAATAGTTATTTAATTCCAGAATGAAGATAATTTCATGCGAAAAGCCTATAATTCTATTGTTAGATGTCCGTGGTTCCTTTTTGCACATATTTGGTCATCTTCACATGGCCAAAGGAAATCAGAAGGCTGTCAACAATCCCGGGAATATAAAGAGTAGCAACAATAGCTCAAGTCGAATTTAAAGTTAAGAAAGTACTTTGAGAAAGAAAAGGTATTTTTGTAAAGTTAGCAGGGGGTTGATCAGGGGACCCTTTATCAAGTTCCCTTAATTCAATTGATGAAATTATACACTAGAAAGGGAAGATCACCAACCTATGGGGACCACTGATAAACCTAGGCTATAGTTTAGGGGGGGAAAAGGTAAAAAAGAAAAGAACAGTGAAAAGAGAGTAGAAAAGGGAGAAAAGATGTCTCTACAGAAGAGAGAATGAGGAAAGAATGAGGGGCATAAGTAATGGTAGAAGCAGGGGTAGGGGTTGAGGGGAATGTCTTGGTATTCTATCTGGGCCTTAGGGTTTTGTTCATTCCCATATGACTTTTCAGGTTTAATTAAAGATGGAGATTGTCCTTTTCAGAAACTGCCTTTCCTGATTTTTCTAACTAGGGCTGGATTTTGGATGGCATTCCTGAAACTCGAGAACAGGCATTGATGATACAGACATGTGGAATCTCTCCCAGGCATGTCAGTAAGTAGCATTTGGTCTCAGCCTCACATGACATCCACATTTCTCCAATACAGAAACAAAATAGAAAGTCATATGTTTAACCTATTTTTCTTTTTTTTCCTTCTCTTTCTAGTTGTGCTGAGTGCTCCAGACACCGTCCTGATTGAGAGAAATTTGGGCAAACGGATTGATCCTTACAATGGAGGTAATGTTACTGTGAGCTCCTTGTGAATGGAGACTGTCTTTTGCCTCTTTTTGTATCCCCAGCACAATGTAGATGCTTCATCATTATTTATTGACTGACTAACTGACCAACTTACTTCTACAGATGAGTCGTCTCTAATACAGAGTTTAAAAAAATAGTATGGTGGATGCTAATCATACCAAGATGGTAGAATCAGTCTTAAGGAAACCATAGCCGTGTTATGGTAACCTTTCTTTCCTTTGTCCTGGTTCTGTTCTTAGATTCATAAATCCATAGACTCATTAAATGTGAGACACAAGTCTAATTCAGCACTTCCCAAACTTACTTGACAATTCAATTAAACAAATATTTATTAAGCACCTACTGTGTGTGGTTTTTGGTACTGGCTACCAAATTCTGAGAGGTGAAGATGAGGAAGTACATTGGGAAACAGCTTGAGCACAGACTTGGGAGATAGAATATTGAATTTAGGGGAGGAACTAGTAGTCCAGATTGGCCTTAGAAAATTTCTGGGTTTGAGACAAATTCCCATTAAAGCGTGAAGTCCTTGAGAACAGTCTTGCTTTTCTATTTGTGTCTCTGGGTCTTAGCATAGCCTGGGGGCATATTGTAAACACTTAAATGCTTCATTCCTTCCTTCCTTCCTTCAGGATTAGGTCTACATCAGGTCTAGGACCTCATCCATCCTTCCACTCCAACATTTTGACTTTATGTTATGGAGCAGAAAGATGAGGACTTCCTTTTCATTTGGCCTCAGGACCATATTATTAGCAAGAAACTCATGGTAGCTGCATAAACAGCTGGTGGCACTTCGGGGAATATATCAGTGATGTGAGATTGTGATTTCAGGGGTGTGGTTTTATGTCTGTGGGCTATTGTTGAACAGTCAACTGCACATCTACCTTAGTGAATGGAGCAAGGGAATACATGAAGATGCCTCTTCCATCTTTTGAGGAAGGGAACCTTCTAGGGACCAAGAGAAATAGCTTCTTCTTTCCTTCTACCTGGACAGCCAATGTCTAAGAGAAGTGGGGAACAGTGGCATAGATGATCCAAAGTGGTAAATAACTCACAAAATCATTTATATTTGGCTTGGGAATATATTACAACAGTTAATTTTGTTTTGTATCACTTTCTTAATTAAGTTTTGCTTAACAATGAATGTCTGTACTAGTCTTCGTTCAGGAGTCGAGTTGGCTTCTGGCTATCTTTCAGATAGGGCTGTGTTTTCTTCAGTTGTAGTCTGTGATTGTTCACCCCTTCCAAATATACTGAGGCACAAATAAGTTGAATTCTTGCTTCATCTTTCCCAATAGAAGACCTGGGGACTGAAGTAAGAACTTGTGCACTCAGTCCCATATTTATTGAATGAATAAATGTTGGATCATAACCCAACAATATAAATGAAAGATTTCTAAGCTTTATGTTAGCATAAATTTAGGTCCAATATAGAAAGTGTGGACAGATGGTGTATATATATGGTCTTCAATGGTCAGAGCTTTGGTGATTTGGAGCAGTGGTCTTTGTTCTAATAGATCACCCCACCCCCTTTTTTTTCCTTAGAGGTTTATCACACAACTTTTGACTGGCCCTCGGATACTGAAGTACAGAGCCGGCTGAAGGTACCATTGGGCATCTCGGAGGAGGAAACTGCCAAGAGACTAATGGAATATCACAAGAACATTAATAGGATTCTCCCTTCTTATCCTAAAATTTTGAAGGTTATCAGTTCTGATCAGCCGTGTGTGGATGTCTTCTACCAAGGTAAATAGAAACTCATAGCATCATTTGAAATATTCCAGAGCTGTTCAAGATGACCACCAAAATATAGTAACATCTTATTTATCCGGTGTCTTTATAACAATAACTTCTGAGGCTATTGTGTGTATTATATATCTTAGCTCCTTGAAAGCAGGGACTGTTTTTTGCCTCTTTTTGTATTTCTGGTACTTAGCATAGTCCCTGGCAATAGTAATTGCTTAATAAATGTTGATTGATTGATTGATTGAAGAGAAGACAGCCAAACTGGCAACAGCAAGAAATGTTGAACTATGTTATATAAGATTAGTTCCAAATGGATACATGACTTGGATGTAGAAGGTCGCATCATTAATAAATAGGAAGAACAAAGAAGAAATTTCCTTTCAAATATATGGATAAGGGAAGAATTCATGACCAAATAAGGGAACAAGGAGGAAAAATAAACAATTTTGATTATATAAAATTTAAATTTTTGCATGAACAAAACTGATTAGATAAAATTAGAAGGGAAATGAATTAGCAGGGCGGGGAAATCTTTGCAGTAGGTTTTTCTGACACGGGTTTTAATTCCGAGATATATGAGGAATTGATTCCAATGTAAGAATAAGTATCATTTCCCAATTGATAAATGGCCAAAAGTTATGAACAAGCAGTTTTCAGAGGAAGAAATCCAAATTAACAACATATTTAAAAAAAATGTTCCACATCACTAAGAGAGATGCAAATAACAGCAATTGTGAAGTTTCACCTCCCACTCATCAAACTGATAAAAATGACAAAAGAGGAAAATGACAAATGTTGGAGAGGCTTCAGGAAAAAAAAAAGATGTAGTTGGGCACTGTTTGTGGCTGTGAATCAATTCAGCCATCTTGGAAAGCAATTTGTAACTATACCCGGCCCCCTCCCGAAACCTTTTGACCAGATAACATTCTGAGGCCCATTCGCTAAAGACAATAAAGAAATAGGAAAAGGATTAACCTGTCCCAAAATACTTATAGCAGCCATTTTTATAGTGGCAAATTACTGGAAAGTAACAGGGTATCTACAAGTTGGGGAATGGCTGAACAAATATGATACATGAGTGTAACAATACTATTGTACTATAAGGATTGATGGAAGGGATAGTTTTGGGGAGACCTAGGAAGACATATATAAAGTGGTACGGAGTGAAGTGAACAGAACTACGAGAACAATTTATACAATAACAATAATATAAAAAGGAACAAATTTGAAACACTTAAGAACTTTGATCAATGCAAAGACTAACTATAATTCCAGAAGCCCAAAGATGATGTCTGTCACTCACCTCCTGGCAGGGAGATGCAAAATGACACGTACATTTTTGGACATGACTAATTCGGGAATTCATTTTGCTTGAATTATGCGTATTGTTACATAAGTTTCATTTTTCATTTTCTTTCTTTTTGCTCCCCAATTGTTTACTAAAAAAAATTTTTAAAAAGAAATGATAATGAGGGAGTGAATAGACTAGGAAAAAAACTATAAAAAATGGACTCAACCTCTCTAAAAAGTTTGGGGTTATTTAATTTGGGGGCAAGAAGCTTTGTACACTTCAATAGGCCCCTGAACACATCACTATGACTCTTCTATAGTTCAATAATTGCTGTCATTAATGATTTTCCTGAGTCATAAAGAAAAAGGAAAATTATGTTCAGCAATCCTGTTTATTAAAAAAAAGAGTGTAATGTGTTTCAGAAATATTACCATCTCAAAGGTTTAGCATCTTATAATAGTTTTTTTTCCTGTGCTTAAAGGCTCAACTTTCAGTTATCTAGAAAATTCACCAGTTTCCTAAAGGTGCTGGATGCCTGAGGAATGTCTGCCTGTAATCTGTCAACACCGGCAGAGCAATGCAGAAAACTGAGGCAATTATCTGAATAAACTTCTTGAAGAAAAGGAGATTTAGGTTTTGAGGGGTTAAATTATCCAGGTCAGACCCATAGCAATCACCCTGGGTCCTATTAGATAGGACCCAGGCAGAGTCTTGCCAGCCATCCTCAGGGCATTTAATTGAAGAAGAGCTAGTGTATGAAGGAGTGTGATGAGTAAGCTGGCTTTGCTTTGATGAGTTTTTCTGAAACTTGATTTTACTTGAGTGATACCTGAGGTACAATCTCATATTTTGAAACTGAAGAAGAAAAAAAAAACAACTAGCAGCTGAAAGTCCAGAGAATACTACACTTTAAAAAATCCCAGTCTTGTGATCACTTAAATTTTCTAGTTATTTTGCATCTCAAAAGGATCTTTAATAACAAGCACTGTACTTCTAAGATAAACAACCAAGAAGTTTATATTATGCCACGATTCTGAATTTATACATTAATTACTTCCAAATTACTTAATTAAATTTAAAAGTTCATATGATTGTTCATAAAGAATTCATGCTTGGAATTGTAAATAAAAATGTGTCTGAATATTAATTATTATTAATTAATAATGTAGAGAGATAAATTGAAAATTGGAATAAAAAAATAATCTCTAGTTTGTTTTCCCCTCTCCTCTCTGCAGTGTATCAACCAGCCAGATATTTTTAAAAGAATAATTAGATATTGAGACTGTCTGGGGGATCATTATTTCTAATTAACTTAGTTATTTACTGTAAATTAGGCACCATTTGTAAGCAGGCTGCTTTGCCTGTAGCGTGTATGCTTTTAGACATTTTGGATTGTGAAAAGGATTGAGGATAAAGAATCTTACTTGGCAAGCTTTCTCCAGCTTTTTCTTGTTTGGGAAGTGGATGCAGACAATATGTTACAGTGAAAAAGAGTATTTTTAGTTCTACCCCCATCTCTGACATTTACTAGCCATGTGACCTGGGGGGTGGACAATTCACAGAATGTCTCTGGGCCTCATCAATAAGGTGACTGGTAAATAGGAATGTGTATGTATAGCTTGTATCAGATTGTGCGCTGTCTTGGAGAGGGAGGTTGGGGAGGGAGGGGGAGAAAAATTTAAAACTCAAAAGCTTATGGAAGTGATTGCTCATAAATCAAAATAAATTAATAAAAAAAAAATAAGGTGACTAAGGTAGACTTAAGGCTCAGATTCCTTCCAATACTGCCATTCTATGATCTAAGGTTTTCCATTGAGCTTTAATGGCTTCACGTTCTAACATTCTGTGGACTAGGCTATTCTATTCTAGCATTCTTTATTCTCAGAACTCTTCTGGATTCACTGTTCTGAGTTTTAACAATCTTTGGTCTAAAGTCTCTTCCAGCTCTAATATTTTATATTCTAACATTCTTTACTCTGTGATGACTTTCAACTTTAACGTTCTGGGTTCTCAGTTTCAGTCTGAATCCCCATCTGGGTTCTATGGATCTGTGAAGATTGTTGACTATAAAATTCCCACAATTTCAACACTAGGTAACAGTTCTTCCCCTTTTGAAGTGTCCTATTTCCTGAAATCAGGGGCATCTGCATCTCTTCTTATGTTCCTTCATCGGGCAGAATCTAGAAACTCTGTTTAGAAGGGTCATGGAAATAAGAAAGTATTCTGGGACCAAAGGCTTACATACAGATTTGCAATCTAATTGTCTTTACAATTGCAAATTGCCTGCAAAGCCAGAGTCCCCGTTCCCTCAGAAGTCCTGGTTAAGGAGAAGGGGATCTGGTTTCAACAGGGGGTCCTGCAACCTTGTAAAATACCTGCTGTTAGATCTCCAGAGTGTCTGCCTTTTCATTGGACTGATGAGCCTGTCTCACTTCCCCAAGCTTTCGTCCCTCTGGTTTCAGGTGGTCTCACTTGTTTTCTCTCATGACTTCCTGGCCCCTGAAGCACACTGCTGTGATAGTCACCTCATTTCCAGGAGTATCTCACCTCCGAGTTTCCATTTCTCTTTGTTCATCAGATGCCATGCACACCCTAGTCAGTCCTGTGGAGCTAAACCCCACCGTCTCCCTGACCTATTTGATCATCATTTCTTTGGGGACCTGCAACCAAGTTTGTGTCACTGGAGTGCAGCTGCACGGATTATTCTTCACAAATCCTGCCGTCCTTTAGAAGTTCCCAGGAGATAGGCCCTCGGACTAATAAATTTATTAGAACCCTCCATCTAATACCAGGCATGATCAGTAGAAATCAAAAGCAGATTCTGACAAGGGAGAACAGAATCAGTCTGGGGGCTTCACGCCACCCCTCTTTTTCATGCAAATAATAATAATAGGAATAAAGCATGAAGAAGTCCACAATCCTGTTTGATTTTTGAGAAATCATAGTGCAATGCCATTCATGTACAGCCCGCATACCAATAACAAGTAGTCTGAACATGTGGGAAAGAATGGAAGCCACTGTATGTTGTAGAGATTGCTGGGCAGTGCTCAGGTGCTTCTGCGGCTTCTCCTGAAATTAATTACTCCCCTCCTTGCCCCTCTGCCTTTGCTATGTCTTTCCATGGAGGGCAGAGTCCCTGAAATATAATTATTTTCCCCTGCTGCTCTGATGGCTACTCAGCAGAGATACAGAGTTTCCATGGTGTTAGAAAAGAAGGGAATAATTGTTCCCATTAAGATAGCAAAGCCAAGGTGTGGTAAGATGGTTTTCTTTTTATTTGGGACCTTGAATCTATTATCCCTATATTCTTTCTCTTTAGCTCTAACCTATGTCCAAAGCCAGCACCGGTCGAATGCTCCTTTTACTCCAAAGATTTTGCTTTGTGGACCCACGGGCAGTGGGAAAAGTCTACAGGCAGCTCTCCTTGCTCAGAAATATGGCATTATCAATGGTAAGTTTCCAGTAAATATGTTCCAACCCCTTTCCAACTTTTTTTTTGGGGGAGGGGAGATCGTTTATCTTTTTTCTTTCCTGCCCAAATGCTCACAAAATTTTTGTTAGTCCATCACTGCAGAATAAGTTTTCTCCCTAAAAAATGTCACTATAAAAATCAATCAGATAAAACCATATATACAAGTCCAAACCAGTTAGAACATTTTCCTAGTCGTCATTTTCATACACCTTTAGAGTGGTAGTTTTTCATGTGTTAACACCAGAGACGCTCTCATGCTTTGAGTTCTCCATTGAAACCATGGGCCTTGCATAATGTGGGCTCTCTTTTTTTTTATTTATTTATTTTCTGGTGTCATGCAACAACCCCATCCCAGGGTCGTGTTTACAGGCCAAGAATTTTCGAACTGGATGGAGACTTTTTCCTGTATGCCATTTCAATAAATATTTCACCAGGAGGAGAGAAAATATTGAAATGAGCTCTCCCGGCCTTTCACAGGGTGGTCCCAGGTGGCATTAGATGCCAGCATGTGTTAAAAAGCATAAAGGATTTGAAAGTCAGAGGAAATAGCACTAGACAAGGCAGCGCAGTTGGTGAGAGTTAAAGGCCCTGCCTCAAACTCTTTGCAACCCTGAAGTAACCTCCATTTTATTTTTAAAGGTAAAATGTAGTTACACAACCTGTGTCCCCTACCCCACTTTCAACTCTTGGAAGTTTCTAGTGGATCTTCCCTTTGATAAAGGCATTAAAAAACTCAATTTCTTTCACTTTACACACAAAAGTTACTCAGAATAACCAGGTTTAGTGTCTCTGGGTTACATGTATGAAATGAATGGCTGCTCAGTTATCTATTATATTGACCAAAAGAGATACACAGTCTGGCCAAAATTTTTACTTTTCTTTCCCACAGTAATGGGTTTTTGGTTTTTGTAAGCCAAATTTGTCTACATAGTATGTCCTCTGTTTAATTTTGTTGATAGAATCAGCCTTTTAAGTCTTTTTATAACTAAAATCCTAGTTGCAATTAATAAAATGTATTGGCATTTTGTCACAAATAAAAAGCAAATGCAGAGTCATCCTTGCTTTGAAGATATTTTTGTTGTTTGTATTTATTATTACATCTGCACAAGTGCAGTTATTATAGCAAACACATTAAAGAATTAAGATCTGATAAACAAAGCACAAACAAATTGTGCTAGGTTTTAAAAAATGAGTAGATTAATGAAATGTTAGTTTATCCTTAGATAATTATCACTGTGCTCTATTTTTATCTTGTGCAATATATTTCTTTCAGTAATGTTTTTATTTGAATTCTTTTCCCATAAACTAATTGCACAGAAATGAACTTAGCTGGTGAGATTTTTCTAAGAAAGAAGCTGAAGGTGACCCATCATAATTTTTCCTTTTCATGCCATCATTTCTTGATTATATGTTAGAATAGAAATCTTTTTGTTATCTTGGACAACTGAGGATTTGCATCTATAATTTTATAATCTACAGAGATGTCCTTGATCAATTTAAGACAACATAAGTAAGTTCAGTTCAGCTAGCTAAGATTTGGGCAGGTAGCTAACACATTTACAGAATTTCTCTGCTGAGATACAGAGTTGCTATAGCAAGCTAAAAGGATTTTTTCTGTGTCTTAAGGGGCAAAAGCTTTGTCTTTTGTGCCAGCCTTTGCTTTGTCTCCATATACACACTTATTAACTACCAAACCACACTTTTCATCATTTCCTTAAAAAGTAAGGAAATCAACAAGACCAAACTCTGCCAGTCAGTCTAGACATATTGAGTGACTACTGTCTATAGAACCTCATATCAGGCTCCAGAAATGGGGAGATGGAGTAGATAAAGCTTGAAAGTCTTCTGTAGACACTGCTTCTAATATTTGAACAGTTAATATTTATTATTGTATGGGTTGTTGTTTTGGGGTCATTTCAGTCATGTCAGACTCTTCATGACCCCATTTGGGGTTTTCTTGGCAAAGATACTGGAGTGGTTTGCCATTTCTTTTTCCAGCTCATTTTACAGATGAGGAAACTGAGGTAAACAGGGTTAAGTGACTTGCCTAGGGTCACACAGATATATAGACTTTTATAGCTGGAAGGGACTTTAAAGATCATCTATTTCAACTTTCCCACTTGAAAGACTGGGAAGCTGACTTATGAAGCTTACCCAACTTCATGACCCTTAGTGATGGAGCTCAGGTCTCTGAACCCCTAACTTGATACTCATCCAACTATATCACACAGCCTTCTTTTATGAAATCCTACGGCCAATAACAATAATAACAATAACAAAGTTACTTGACCTCTCTTTTCTTCATTACAAATATCATTTTATTTTTTCCCTCCAAACTTCCAGAATCTTTATGATGAAATATGATGCTGAAGCGTCCTTTTTATTACTGTTACAGTAAGTTAGTTGTAATGCGATTGCTTTGGACAGAATTGTTATCAGTACATACTCATGATGAACAAAATAATGGGTAACTAATTCTGTTGGTAAAGAAATCCTCAATTTTTGCATGTAATTTCATTAGTACTATCTGCTTCAGGCTCAGGTTGAAAAAGGCATGAGTGGCAAAGGTAAGAAGAAGGTTTGGCTTACGCATATAACAACTGATGTGAAAATTGAGTTGCGTGGCTTAATAACCAAATGACCTTTGTTATTAATAGGAAGCACTGCTTCTAAAGATGGTATCATGCCTTTAAATGTTAACAAACAGTGTAAACATGACCACATTCGCCATATTTTGAAAATGACTCACCAGGGACCACCCTGACGTAGAAGTGATTTGCCGATAGAAAAGGTCATCCCTATGACCAACAGTTGATGGATCCTGGCTCTTATGCACTTAACAGTTCCTACGTAATAGCATCATTAACACAATTTGGGACCCATCATTCAAAATTGTGCTTACTCATTTCCTGGATGTTGTTTGTTCCCAACAAGTCAGAGAGTATCAAATTGAAAGTTGAAACTAGGCCCTCCTGGATTTCCTGTTTTGGTGACATATCTTATTAGTGTCTTTTCTCTTGCCTTCCATTTTTAATATGTTCTTCACCAAATGCATTCTTTTTCATTCCACAGCCTTTGCTGCTCAGTTTCTGTATGACATTTGTTTTTGCTTGGCCATACTCTCATATGAGAAAAGCCCTTTTATTTTTTTCTGTCCACAGTGACCTTTTTTTACCAAGCAGCTTTGGGGCTTATTTTTCTCTTCCTCCCATTTTATTTAAAATTTAACCTATGTCTTTCTGTTCCTCTCTTCCCTCAGTCTGCTGTGGGCACCTGCTGAAAGAAGCACTTGCAAGCAACTCAAATATTGGAGAATACATCCGGCCATTTTTTGAACAGGAAATGCAAGGTAGGTCCTATTACCTGCTAACCACCAAAGGGTTACAAGTTCTGATTAGAAACAATCCAGGGTGGAAAATCTCTGATACTCTGGGGGTTTACAATGGGGAACAATATCCAGGTGAGTTAAAGATGAACCTTTTTATAAGCAAAGATTCATTTGCTTTACTCATGAGTAGCTTCTGTATGTATTTAAGACTGATCCCCAACTGAGGCAAGTTTATGGATACTGACCTGCTATGCAGTAGTGTTGATCGTTCCTAACATGTCATTCAGAATTTAGAACCAGAAAGGACCTTAAAGATTATTTAAGCCAGTGCCCCTCATTTTACTCACAGGGAAATGGAGGTCCAAAGAATGGAAGGAAATTGCCCAAAATTGAGTGAGTTAGTAGTGGCAGAGTTTGTCCTAGACCCCAGGACTCTTAACTCCTACTCTAATAATCTTTCTTCCATAACACACTTAGATTGTAATGGTGGAAGAGAGCTATCTCCCTATTTCAAACAGATTTTTAAAACTCGTTTTCCTTTATGAACTTGAAATTTGATTTTTGACTATCTGTTTTAGGTAGATTAGATATTCATTTTCCTAAAGGCAGAGGGAGTAAAACGATCACTCAAACTCTCCTCAAGAGCTATGACATTTAGTGTAACAGACGCAGTGGCCCATGGGGTTAGATAGACCAGGGTCAGTCTTGGTGGGGATTATAACTCCTCCCGCAGAAGACAAGGAAGGTTCTTCTCAAATTTTCTGGCTTGTTATGCCCCCTCATCCTAGAATAGAACTCTGGAGAACAACACTTTCAGCAAAGCTTAGGTTTGGCTCATATCCCAAGAGGGATTTACAGGTTCCTTTCTAAAAAGAGACTCATAGACAAAGTAGATTGATCAGGTATAGGACAGCTATTTAATTCCTCTACCAGAAAAGAAATGCTTAACACACAAAAGACTCATAACCGTGCACTGATAAATCCTTAAAGCATCATACAAATACTTAACACAGGAACAGGCATTTCACCTCAGCTCTGAACTGTCTAAAACTATCTAAACAATTTTTAAAAACATCTTTATCTTTTGACAAGCTAAGGTGTGGCTTTGCCTCATTCTCCTCTCAGTGGACATCTTTTTCTCCAAGAAGCATTGTAGTAGCTACAAGGAACACTTCCCACAGGGCAGCTGGTACCAAATGCAGAATCCAGGATTTCCAAAACTCCCAAAGGAGCCATTGGGTTAAAAAATTCCTCTCTTAATATCACTGTTTGGTCACCTGTGCTCAGGAAAAAAAAACCCACAGAGCACAACAGGCTGCTAAAACCTTGAGATCCAGTCTCAGGTTCACCTAAACAAGTGCATGCTCTCTAGATGCTGAGAGAATAAGAAGAAATCCACTTCCTTCTTCTGAGGAAGCCCAAGGGATAGCTGTCAGAGTCCCAAGCTGCATATTCAGAAGAGAGGAAGAGGAAACTGAAGAATTGTCTCTCCCTCTGTAGTCTGCTGAATGGATAACTCTTACCGTTCAAAGTCTGTCCTTTTTGATGGATTTCTCTTCCTTCTCCCCTCATCATGGAGGGTGGGAGAAAGGAGGCACGTGGAGACCAATATGGAGGCTTCCAGTTTGACATGCCTTCTATCTAGGAGTCCACTAGAAATATGTCACTGCCTGAAGGGGCCTAACTCTAGAGCTAATACATGTGATACCAGACATGCTCCCCGAAAGGGATGGCCACTGTTAACTTGAGATTAAGAACTGCTAGATAATTTATGTGTTTTCTCTGTTGTGAAAAGTGGAAGTAAAGTTTCTCATAACTATGAAGCAAGAAGTATTTATTTTTTGTGGCAAGAAATCTGACAGAGTCTGCCGATGTCCAAGATTTTATTCTAGTTTTTCTATTCTTGTAGTTTGGGTAATGAAAACTAAGTGTATTATGATTCAGTAGCTTGAATTATCAAGGTGTAAATCGCATAAAGCAAAACTTGGGGCTTAGTGTAAAGAAAAGCTTTTTAAAAATTTAAGTTGTCCAAAAGTGGAATGGACTAGCTGAGGAAGTTCTCATCTTAAAGAGTCAATTAAGTGATACAGTGGATACAGCATTGGACTTAAGATGCAGAAGGACCTGAGTTCAAATCCTACCTCAGACACTTACTAGCTATGTGACCTTAAACAAGTCACATAACCTCTCTCTGCCTCAATTTCCTCATCTGTAAAATGAAGATGATAAAAACATTTGCCTTCCAGGGTTGTTGGGAGCACAAAATGAGACATCTGTAAAGCACTTTATAAACCTCAGTGGGCTATATGGAAGCTTATTATTATTATCATCATCATCATTATTATTAAATTGAAGCAAAAGCTGGATGATTACTTGTTGGGGATGTTGTAGAGAGATGTTTTCTGTATGTTTTTTAATATGAGCTTAGGTTAATGATGGGGATACATTTATTATTATTATTTTTTTTTTTAAATTAGGCAACTGGGGTTAAGTGACTTGCCCATGGTCATACAGCTAGTAAGTGTCAAGTGTTTGGTCTGAGGCTAGATTTGAGCTCAGGTCCTCCTGACTTCAGGGCCGGTGCTCTATCCACTGAGGGTGATAAATTTTTGCTGAAAGGAAAAAGTGTTGCAGGAAAATAATGTCCGTATGAAAAATAACTTGTAAATCTCAGTCTACTAATTTTTTTGATGAGATTTCTTTCTCTCTCTCTCTTTCTCTTTCTCTTTTTGCCAGATAGAATAACTAACATTGCAAATTTCTGAAAATGGGCTGCCTTTTTATTCTTTCACTACTCAAAAAAGTTCTCTAAGAACAGAGATATTTCTGCTAATTTGTACTTTGGCCCAAAGAAAGCTTTGGGTTAACAGAAAAGCCTAAAGAGCCTTTCTTTGCTGGAGATTCCAGGTTCCAGGATGAGTTTCACAGAGAGAAAATAGGATTCTCTGAAATTACATGATGTGCTTTTTGAGATAACCACAAAAAGGTGCAGGGTAGGATATTTTCTCAAGTCACCCTGAACATGAAAGTGGTTTAGGGATCATGTTCCAAATAATCCATGGAACCAAAGAAATAGTATGATTTCTTGTCTTTCCTTTCATCTTGATTCTCCTTTCCAGAGATAGTCACTCATAGGATATTGTCTTGGAATAACCTTGAAGCATCAGTCCAGATAGACATCATTCTCCTTTCCACAATTTATTTGACTGTTCTACGCAGTCCCCACCTAGTAGTTCTTCCCAAGCCTCTCCCTGTTACATTTCATCTCTCTTATGTCGTGTTGTCTTCCCCATTCTGGTGTTTATCTAGCAAAGATGTTCATTGCCGAACACAGCCCTCCACATTTGGTTGTTTTTCTTAATTTTATTCCGAGGTATAGATTGATTTCTCATTCCTTTAGTAGCAAGACTGAAAACTACAAAGTGACATGGAAGAAGCTTAGCTTTTTATATGGGATAATAAAACATATGCAAGCAACTGAAGCAAACTGGCCCTGAAGGTTGAGGCTACCTCTTGCCCCTGCAGGGATACCTTCACACAGTTGCCAAAAGACATTAGAATGTATAGGCCTCATGGTGTCACTCCAGCATTGAAAAACCAACCATTAGTGGCTCTCCATTGCCTAGAGGACAAAATACCAACTCCTTAGGTTGGCATTTAAGGCCTTTGCCAACCTACCTTTTGAGTATCATTTCACCCTTTGCACAGTGTACCGCAGGCAAACTGGATGATATCAAAGTATCTCACACCTATTCAGGAGGAAATGCTGTAGCAACTGGGATGTGAAAGACAGTCTCAGGCTAAATATGAGAACCTTACAGCTGAGGTAAACTTTTAAGTCTTACTTCAATGAGGCATTTAAGCAGTTCAATAGATAGAGCACTGGGCCTAGAGTCAGGAAGACTTGAGTTCAGACTTGGTCTCAGATGCTGAGTAGCCATGTGACCGTGGACAAATCACTTAACTTTTGTCTGCCTTGGTTTCCTTAGCTGTAAAATTGGGATCATAACAGCACCAACTCTCAGGGTTGTTGTGAGGATCAGATGAGATGGTATTATTAGTAAAATGCTTAAGATAGTGCCTGGCATATAGTAGGCACTTAACAAAAGCTTGTTCCCTCCTCTCCCATCTTGCATACTTGTAGATCTTTACATCCCTGAATAGCAAATTATTTTACACATGTATATTTCATAGTCTATCTCGTAGTTCTTAGAAAAGAGATAAATTAGCAGCCACTAGTTCTCAAACCCTTAGAGCGTCAGTGAGGCCAGTAGAGTGATGATTGAGATATGAAAGACGTCAACGTCCGTATGTAAGTTGCTGACGTTACGGACCTTGAAAAACCTGTGGTCTCATGGGGTTTTTAATCCTCAGTCTTACTGATGTGGTTAGTTGACTTTTTTCCCCTCTCTCTTAAGTAAGTGGGTCATTTTAAATCTAAAAAAACCTTTGATTTGACCCAGGAAAGGACACTGTAAGGTGGTTGCAACGAGCAGGCAAATTGTAAGGAGAAAAATGGTGTGTGGGCTGGCTGGTGCTGCTGTTGAACCTGAGAGATGATCTTCTAAGTTATGACCTACGGAAGGTGAAGTCAAGATAGGAGTATGAATTAAAAGTTGGTTCCATGGGACTATTTGGAGACAGCTCCCTAAACTGCATTCATTGCCACAATGACTTAAGAAAACATCATACCTCCCTCCCTGATGCTATTGCCAAAATACATTGCTTAATTTTAGTGGGCGCTGTGAACCTCTTTGTAGAAATACTGGTAACTCAACCTCTGTTCTATATTATCAATCCATTTGCCAGTTACTCCCTTTTTATAGATTAGTCTTAGCAAAATGTCTTGTTTTAAAGGAGAATAAACATGTACTACTTTGGTTTGAGGAAGCGAGGGGGAGCATTGGACTTGGTATCAAGTGAACTTGGAGGCAGTCAGGTGGTGCCAAGGTTGTTAAGTTTAGAGTCAAATAGACCTGATTTCAAATCCTGCTTTAAACATTTATAGCTATATGATCCTG